GTCCTCATTTGGGACTTTGCGCACAAATCCAGCATAAGACAATAAAAACCGTTGTAGGTGAAGTGTAGTTAGTAGTCAGTACGTGTGCGCGCGCGCTTAAAGCTTCATGGGTATTTAAATATAGCAGAAATATTAAATGACAGCCAAAAAGTCAACCTTCGCACAGCAATTGTTCCACTCGTTGCAAATAACCGGCGAGGCATGCAACTGTGGGCGAGGACAGTGGCAGGGTCAGTGGGCAGGCGCTGCTCTGATAGTTAGTCTGGTTTAATTGCCAGCAACAGAATAAGAATAAAAAAACAACAGCAATGTTAAAGGATGCGAATGCCAAAATAAAAAAATAAACAAGTGCAAACTTGAAGCTAAAGAAATCAAACAGATAGGCTGGGGAAGTTGGTTTATAGAGGCACAAAGAAAATAAAACAAAATAATAAACAGAGCAAAACATTTTTCCATTCTGCTATTGGTCCGCTCGCTATTGTGGAATAAATTGGGAATCACTGGAACCAAAAGCTAAAAAAACATTCTTCAAGTTGTCAATTCGTTATTGCCTTTTAAATAGCTATGCTGTATAATAAGTGTGTAATGTTCTCGTTACACTCATTCTACTCGTTACACTCATTTTACTCGTAACACATATTATACTCGCTATAGTTCTTTTCTTGGTTTGACTCTTTTTACCCGATATCCTCATACCCGATATCCTCATTACATTTATTCTATTCGTTACACGTCGTTTACTAGTGCTCCCATTATACTCGTTACACTTAATCTACTCGTTGGACTCGTTGCACACCTTACAATAATTCGACTCGTTAAACTAGTTTAACTCGTTAGACTCGCTTTACTCGTTAAAATCCTACTTCTTGTGGATAAATCAATAAAAAGAAAATAAACCAGATCTTATTTAAGCCAAGCATTAAGAGTTACAGCAATGATTTAAAATTTCATCATCTTATGAGTGTGTGTTATCCCTTTTAAACGAGAGACTGTATGATTCTCGATGTGCATACGCTTGCTTGGTGAATGTATGAGGATTACCCTAGGGCTACCACACAACTACAGAGTAATTCCAACAGTTTCATACAATTTTCCATTGACAATGGGCAAGTCCACAAAGTTAATTACGTTGCTTTTTACCTCTTTCTCTCTCAGTTCCTTTCGATTTCGCAGTCTCGCTCTATCTTCTAATTGCGCTTATTATGCGTTGCCTTATCTTAAATGTCATACAAAACAATATCGTAATTTCAGAGTAATTGCATGTCATCTCTTGGCCTTAGACGCCCTTCCGCCCTTTCTACTTGCCTATTTCTGTTTTTTGTTGTTAACCGGCAATTCACAACTGCAGCTGGTCAGAGCACACACACACAATTGCTGCCTAAATGTGTGTGTATGTGTGTGGCTGTCATTGCATACTTTCGAGCTATGCCGCGCATGTTGTGACTGTGCCTGTCCTTGTTCCGTGTCTGTGTGTGTTTGTACTACTGAGAACTGATCCGAACCTCGTCCATCTTTCATCCTCTGTTCAATTCTTAGTGGTCGCAACTATCTCGCGGACGCAACACACTGAAAACGGGCGCCCATCCAGGGTCGACTTGAGTGGGTCCCACTTACGACTGGGCTACATTTTAAATTTCCTCATGGGCCTGCCCCCCGTGTGAAGTGTGTGTTGAGTAATTACATTAGTAGGCGGTACTCCTTGCCGTAAAAGTTGGGTAAAGTGCATGCAACTTTTTATACCGTGCCAACACTCCAAACAATTTTAAGAAACAATTTAAAAAAGAAAAACGAATAACAAAGTAGCGCAATTTACAAAAGAGCGCTTAATGCACTTACTCTTACTAACCAGATATAATGCGTGGCTTTGCTCACGTCACCTATAGAGAATTTATAAAAATCAAATTTCCTGAGTTCACAAAGTGAAAGAGTATTCGAGTTCCTTATGAACTTTTCACTTGCTAAATTGCTGAATGATTGTTTAATCTATTGCATCTTGAGTTCGGGTTATTGAAAAACAAAACTTAAAATTGTTTGTAAATAAAAAACTTGTATATTCGGTTCTTAAATTGAAAATTTTTTATTCGTAATTAAAAACATATTTTGGCTACTTTTAAAGAACGTCCATGTCTAGATGTACTTCATTTCAAAAACCTGCAATAATAATATTAACTAATGAAATAATAATAATAAAAGTAGACGCTAAATTGAGTTGGGGGGCACAAAGGAATTTAGTTTTTGCCATCTTGAAATCAACTGCCTTTGTTGTTAAATAAATTATGTTATTGTTTGGGTAACATTGTAAATAATATTGTTGGGTATTGTTAGCAATTGTTAAGCTTAAGCTCAACACTTCAGCCACAAGCTCAATGCCCAATGTGGTGACATGTCAAAGGTTTAAAGTCCTTTTGCTGTCTTCATCTGTAATTTTCTTGGGTGTGCCCATAAATAACACGACAATTGGAAAGTTTGCTCCCAACCCGGACCTGTATTACAACTTTATTACGCCAGGTGGCTGCTAAGAGGGGCTGCTTTAAGTAATCCGGAGTACGTATTTTGACTACAGCAGTGGAATTTGTTAAATATATCCACTTGAACCTGCAGCAAATTAAAAGAAACTTGAAAGAAAACTGCGCGCAGCTGTAAACGAAAACTGACTGAACTGGAAATGTAAATATTCTCCCCACCAAAAGCAAGGAAAATAAATAACAGAAAGCCTTATGGACATTTGTTGGCATTCTTTGCATTTATTTTTGAGCGCACAGGTCGAGGGGTCGCCAGACCAATGCGTTTTTTCTTCTTTTTAATCACTTGACCTTTTGCGCGTCGTGTGCTTTTAATTTATTATTTTTACCCAACCGCACTCACAAGTTTTCTTTTATTTTGCTCGATTTGTTTTGTATTTTTTTGTTTTGTTTTCACTTTGTGGCTAAAATGTTAAACTGCATGAAAGAAGAAAATAAATCTTGAAATTGACTTCTTTTCGGAGGGACACCGCGATTTTCTTTTATAAGTAGTTGTTGTTTTTGTTACCTTTTTACAAACTGTCGCCTTTTTGAGTTCTTGCTGACAGCGTGAAAATCAAGATAAATGTTTTTGTTCCTCTTTACGTGCTGCTGATGGTTAAAATGCGAGCTTATTTAATTTTAGGAAGAATTTTATTTAAAGCCCGAAATCTGTGCAAGAACACCAGCTGGCAGCAATGGGGCGAGTAGAGAAAATCAGAGTTTCAGCATTTAATTATTTCTTTACGTCTCTCGGTTGAAATATGATTCTACCAGAGCTTGGTAAAATTGTAATCGATAATTTGTTTCGTTATAAAATTGCAAATTGACAAACTTCTTGTTTGCAGTTGAGCCCCAATCTTGACCTGTTCAGCTAGTTCAAATGTTTTTATATTTCGATATGGGCACTAAAATTGTATTAAACTCATTTACAAATAATTTTCGAAAAGCATTTGGCATTTGACGTCTGTCTATATGGCTTTTCCTGCCACATGCGCGCACATGAAGTCTGACTTATCGCGCTCTTAATCCACACAAAATCACAGAAAATCTCACACTCTGTATACACTCAGAGTTCGCACAAGCTGCGGGTAGCTCACAGCAACACTTCAGACTCTTCAACTGGCCAACCGTTTATGCGATAAAAGTCACGACTTTACTCAAAGCACATATATCTGTGGTAGGATTGTTCACTAAGTTATGATGGTAATAAAAAGGGGCCAAAAATCATATACATGCAAAACATCTACTGTCAACCTTCCTATGCGATTTTCATGAACTCAAGTAAGGATGAACGCATATATTACAAAATTATATTAAGATCTTCTATTGGATCTGTGAAAATGTGAATTGTGCTCGATTGGGCGAGGCAGACACAGGTGCAGGGTATTTTCGCGAGCACTCTCACTTGTTGCTACCATAATGTGGCATAAAACTCATTGCGTATATATAGTATACTGTGCTCCCGATAAATTCACAGACTGAACGTTCTCGTATCGCTCGAAATCATGAAATAGCATAGCGTATGCGTAGTGGTTGCGTGTGTGGTTGCGTGTGTGGGTGGCTGCGGGGTGCCGCGGGTGGACCTTGTGTGTAAATGGGGTTCACCAATGTCGATGGTTACTGTCTGAGTGCTGACTGCTCAGCACTGCTGTGTTCTGCGTGGCATGTTAGACACGGCTTAAAAGCTTAGCGAATAAAACTCAAATTATGCGCTCCGAGCTAGTGAACTCTCTCTCTGTGTGTGTGTATGAGTGTGTGAGTGTGTGAGTGACTTGATGGTTTGACTTGTCTGTGGCTCCTGTTGCTTAGAGCAATTAAACGATAAGCGTAATCTACGGCGTCAATTTGCCAATTGTCGCTCTCACAAGTGCGTGAAGGCGTCAGCGCGGCATTTCAATTAGCCAGAAATCCCCCACAACAACAAGAACAACAAGTACAACAAGAACAACAGCAACAACAACCACATCGACACTAGATATATGTACATAGACATATCCTAGCCTAGCTGCTGCTATTGCAGCACCCGTTCAGCCAACACATTGTGTGTCTGTGAGTCTGAGCGTGTATGTGCTTGTGGCCTTTGCGCATATTTCATGAACTTGAGAACGAGAACAAACACAGCGCACAAATGCCGTTGGAGTGTTCAAGGCAATGGAAGAAGGGGGTTACGGGTGGCACGGGTAGCACGGGTGCGACGACATGGAGTGCGGCCAATTAGCACAAAGGCATTTGACTAAGTACACAAAAGTGTTTCCGTTTAGGCAGCACGTCAAGTGACAATTAGCTAGGCCGCAGTCGGTCCGTGATTCGGTTTACATTTTTGAGAGGCCTCGAGGCCTGCCACGCAGCGACTTAGTACGCGCATAAAGGGCTCAGTCTATCCCTCTCTCTCTCTCTCTCTCTCCCGTTTTATATCTCTACCTATCTCTCTTACTCTCTGTCATCTTCAATATAAGTACATACATCATTTTGATTGTCTTTCTCATTCATTTTTAGCGTTCTATCGCGCAAGCTAAAGCCACATCTGGTCGCCGACACCGTTAAGCAGTATATAAGTCGGGCGCAACGACCAACAAAAAAGGGTTCTCAAGAGCAACAAAATAACATGGAGTTTTTACGTGGTGTCTATGCGTTTATGCAAGTGAGTAGATCATCGGTGAGTGTCAACTGTTTCCATTTTAACAACTGTACTAATCCATATCAACTTGCTCTATTTTTATTCCGGCAAATTTTGGTTCTTGTTTTACCATACATACCACTAAAAACTATATGTTGATTCGATACCATTCGATCAAATTCCTAACTCAAATTCAAACGAAAAAAAAATCTTAAAATAAATTGAAATAAAATACAAATAAATATGTAACTTTTATCTGCCACTATCTTACTTATTACAACTTCTACTACTACCTTTGTAAACGTAACAAACAACCGAAAAAAAACCAAATACAATACAATATGATATAATACTAAAAATAAAATATAATATAATATTGGTTACATCAATGTACATATGTTATACAACATGACAACTCCATGTTTCTTCTCTGCCATCCATGTAATTGTTAACTAAAAACTATAAATATAAACCACAAATAACTCGCAATATGATTAACAAAATGTATATACATATGTATATATATATAACGACATCTGAAAAATCACCTAACTCCGAGCTACGCACAACAACAACGAGATCAAATAAATCGGCGGCAAGAATAGGTTCAAGAATAGCAGTCAAATGCATAAATGGGAAATACAAGAAATAATTCATTTTCTAATATGCAAGGCAATTATAAAACAGCATACATACATATACATATTATAAAAGAAAGTACCCTGAAAAAAAAAACGGAAATATTTAGGTATAATTAATAATATAATAAAACTATAAAGCTGAAACGATCACATCACGAGCGAACTTCAAGCAGAAGCTAAGCTACAATTTGCATGTCTTTCATACGTTACCATTATGAATTACCTAACAAATAACTACCCATTGACTTTCACATCAACTTCATACGTGGACTATATGTATATATATATCTTGTAGGCCTCCTCTTATCCAAAACATTGCCAGTTCAGATGTGATTCTAACTAGCGAGCGAGTGAGCGTGCGTCCTTAAGCATTTCATTAAAGTTGTTCAATTCCAAAATAATAATAATTCAAATAAACAAATAAATTTTATCAAAAAATATTTGAAGAAGCTAACAAAAAATAAAAGAATATTAACAAAACAAAATTACATTTATATATATACATATATATTTATATGTATATTTATATGTATACTTTTATATATATCTAGATATGTATATATATATATATATATATGTATATATATATATGTATATATATATATACATATTTATATGTATACTTTTATATATATCTAGATATGTATATATATATATATATGTATATATGTTTATACAGAAAAGAATTTAAAGAAAAGACAGCGCAAACGACAAAAATTCAACAAAGGACAGACATAAAAAAAATAAACTAAAATAAAGAAAAAAAAACGACCGCTAAGAAAAGAAATAACAACAACAACAACACAACAACAATTGAAAAAAGAATGCGAAAGGCCCGAAAGCGGGTTGCCATCTTCATAAAGCGACCACTTGCCCATTGCCCATTTGCCCATTTGCCCATTGTCCATTGTCCATAACCATAGTCCATTTAATACCCATTGTCCATTTGCCATCCCATTCAGATTCAGATTCAGATTCAGGCAACCATGCCCATAACTCTCTGTCTCTCTCTCTGTCTCTATTACTAAACGCATATATGTATGTACATATATGTGCACATTTATATACATGTTGTCTCTTATTTAATACATAAACACGAACAAATATACCTTCACACACAGAATATGTCCTCTTACCTTGTCTCCATACAAAAACCAATACAATATCCAGCTGTACGTATTTGTCTAGATTTGTGTTCTACTCGTGTTAGTGATTCATCATTTGCTTTTTTTTAATCTCAAACCTTCTTGTAATTGGCTGTATAATTGATATATGCATAGCGGACCTAATTGTGTTTTCCCGATGTCTATTTATTTCAAAAAATTTTTAAAATTGTAGACTTAAACCTAGCTTTTGTGTTGTTTTTTATTTTGTCTTTGTCAACCTTTATGTGTGTGTCTGTGTGAGTGTGTGTGTTGTTCAGTACCTTAAGGCTTATGATTTGTTAAACACATATGCGTGCATAACGTATACGCATAGTTGGGCACAAATATTTTAGTCTCGATACCGTATTGAGCTCTAAGCCGAATCGCAGCAAATGTTTTAAATAAGCAAAATACTTTATATTTATTCTCAAACAAAATAAAACACAACAACATTGATAACGTCGGTAATAAATGACATGAAGATCGACTACAGCAACAGCGGCGGCGGCTGCGAACCGACCCTCAGCCTGGTTAATGATGCGAATGCGGCAACTGCATCAACGATACCAACGACGACGCGCGATACTGAGGCAACAAGTTTAAAGGCAGCGACTACGACACCAACTGTAACTGCAACAGCCACTGCAACTTCAACAAGAGAGCCGCTAGCTGGAGCAGCTGAATCCGTAGAAGTCGGGGCTGCCACAAGCTCAAGGCTAAGGCTAAGGCTGGCCAGCAAGCCAACGTCTGCTCCCAAGCAGAGTCAGAAACATAGTCAGAGCCAGTACCAAAAAGAGACTTTGCATCAGAATCTGGTGATGATGAAGACAGCCAAAGCCACAAGGTCAACGACAGACAACAGTTGAGAGTGCAGCGAAATGTGGGCAGATGTTGCCAAGAGTCACAACAACAACAGCAGGAGCAAATATGCAAATGTTAAGAAACAATGATTCATGATCAATCCACAAAATAATGCGAACCATGTGATAACTCGTATGTATGTGTATATAGGCCGTATACTCATGTATAACAATTATTAACACATGATCGTGACGTGAAACAGAACAAAAACAAAAACCGAAACACAGGGCAACTAACACAGTGGCCTTAGCTTGTGCAACTGAATCAAAACCTAAATCAAAATTCGATAAACGATAAAACATTACCGATAACTGATAAACGATAAGCGATAATCGTCAAACGATAATCAAACCCAAAATCGATCATCGATAACCAATAACTGATAACTAAATCAAACATTAAATCAAATCATCAGAGTGTTATCAAAAATTACAGCATAATATAACCAGCAGCTGCAACTCCAGTAAACATTTAATTAACAGTAACACGTAACAGTTACAGCATCATTTACATTAGCAGTATCTGTAAACGTCAATAACACACACTAAGGCTACGACTGATCTGATTTGCGTGCGTGCGTCGTGCGTGTGTGTGCGTGCCACGCCCACCACCGGCCACCGCGTGCACTCAGAGGGTTGGTTGGTGCCCGCGGTGCCATCCCCCCAAACGCAAAGTGATAGAAAATGGTAATTACAAACAAAACAATTCTAGTCATTAACTATCCTAAATCAAAAAACAAAAAAGAAAGAAAACAAAAAAATAGACCTTAAACTCTGCCCAGCTATCCAAAGTTCATCTCTCTGTCTATCTGTCTCTTTCTCTCTCTCTCTATCTATCTATCTATCTATCTATCTATTTATCGAGCCCCCTTTATCACACTCTTCAAATGCGTTTCCTTTCCTAATTAACAAATAATTGCCTATATTGTAGTTCAGATATTATTAGCTGCAATTTTTTCAAAGTCTTATTGTTTATTCATATTATGCTTTAGCTGCCTATTAGCCGAACCAGCGCCATCTAGCGGCTAATGTTTGTGTTAAATTTCGCATTTGATTTCCCTTTCATTTTGCTTTGTCGCTTCTCTCTCTCTTTCTCTCTCTCTCTCTCTCTCTCTCTTTCTGTCTCCATCTATATCTTTGTCTGTCGCATTTAGTTTTTGCGTTTTGAGTCGGATAACATATAAGCGCGATCAACCCAAACAATAAAAGAAAAGTAAAACCAAACCAAACAGGGGATGCAAATTCGTTGCAATTGATGCGTAATCGATAATCGATATTTTATTAAAAGCAACGTTTTACGTGAGAACCCAACGGTAACTGATTGCTCGCCTGCCACCAAAATATGCTGCCATCTACGTGAAATTCTGAAAAAAATTAAATTAAAAAAAAAATAAGAAAAACAACAGGAAAAAAACTATTCAAAGCAAATAAAAAAATAAATATATAACAAAATGTAAAAGTAATTTAATTGAAATATAATAATCAAATTTAATACAAACTAATTATAAGTAGTGAGAGCAACCCAGCCAAGCCAAGAACCTCTCACCACCAACTTTTTCTCTCCGTCTCTCTCCATCTCTCTCACTCTCTCTGTATCTCTCTATATATATATGTATGCATCTCTATTGCATATACGATATTCACACAAAGCTACACCCAACACACGTAACGCCCATGTATCTATATACCGGGGTCAGACACTTTGTAAAAGTATAGTAAAGTGTTGCGAGTACCTCATATAAATGATAATAACTGAACAATATGATGATATAAAGCGAAAAACAACTGGCCGAAAGCAATGTCAGCTGAGTTTCTTTTCATTTAATTTCTTTTACACATATACTATAATTTTCCACATATATCAATAACGATGACTATTTATGCGTATCAACTAAGCGACTAAAAGTACAATACAATTTACTATATACCAATTTTAAATGCTGCGATTAGAAGTTGCTGCAAATCCAGCATCGATTCATAAACAGCATCTTAGCCCCTTAATAGCTCTATTGCCGCGTATATGTTGTTCTGTTAAAATATTTTGCCAAAAGACCGAAGAAATAAAACTCTATTACAATAATAAGACAAAACACATAAAAGCAACTTGAAATTTAGCAAACTCAACAGGGAACATTGCCCTCTCTCTCTCTCTCTCGCTCTCTCGCTCTCTCGCTCTCTCTCTCTCTCTTTCTTTCTTTCTCTCTCTGTATCTTGCTCTCTCCCTCTGTACTTTCCCGCAAGTTATAAATATATTTAAAAAAAATACTTTTCTTTGTATTATTATTATTATAATTAGTCTTATTCAAATTTGGATTATGATTTGTATTGATTTGCTCCCATGATTAGGTTGTTGTTTTATATATTTGGGTTTAAATTTCTATTCAAAATAAAAC